AAATTGAATATAATTACTTGAAGAAAATTAATGGACTTTAGGGTATTAGAATTCAAACCCATAATGTTAAAAGAGTAAAGAAACGACATGAAGAAATTCAAAAGTCATATAATCAAGAAAATTTCAAATATTTTGTATATTATTACAGCACATGGAGTCACTCCAATTTACAAGATTACTTGTTCGAAAAAAGAAATCTAAGGGCTGAAGAAATAATAGCTAAAATTTGATTTGACTATTATTCAACTACTCGGGCCCTAACATTTTCTTGAAATGAAGCCTTGATTTTTTTCAATGATACAACCACATCAATCATAGTAAGTAGTGTCTTAGGTAAATCAATGCAACAATTTAATGCTAACTCAAAAACTGATAATATATGTGTAATATATTATTAGTATTTTAATTTTCTTTGTGCAGCAAAATTGGCATCTATAATGCTAATGATTGGATGTCGTGTTGATTTTCTCACCCAATCTTTCAAACTCAATCCTTGAACAAATGTCTCATTTGTCATTAGCAAAATATCATAACTATACACGTCTCCTTTAATAGAAACAACTCCTTTCGATCCATACTTTGTTATGCCAATTCAAACAATTAGTATAAAAGTCATGATGTCAAAAACATAATGCAAGATGTGGTTAAACTTTTCTTTTGTATCATGAATTCAAATATTTACACATGTAGACATACAAATCAAATAATATAAAATTTTATAAGGCATAACAAGCACAAGAGCATATAAATAAATCCAAAAAATATTATTAAACGATTACCTGGTGCCATATAGCCAATTGTAGCCAAAGTTTTGGTATAAATTTCTAGTTGTCCTTCACCAAACAATATAGCAATACCAAAATCAGTATGATGAGCTACCATATCTTAATCCAACAAAATATGTTTTGGCTTTATATCACAGTGAACAACTAGTGTCGAAGAACCGTGATGAATGTAATAACCCAAGAATTCAAGTAAAATTAATATATATATATATATATATATGTTTGCATTTTAATAGTAGTTATATTAATCTTGGATTAGGATTATTGAGAAGGAAAATTGGTTTAGTGGTAGCTGACCTAGATTTACTTCAGAGAGGTCTTAGGTTCAAATTGTCTTGAGGCAAGAGGAGAATTTTTATTTTCTTATTAATTTGGTAAAATTACCATTATGCCCCTCCCACTTAATCTGATATTTTTCTCTCCTCATTCTTTTCTTTCGGAGAAAACATGTTGAAAACAAAGAAGGGGAAGCTCTGGAACCTTCATTGTCTCCTTTGTCTCCTTCCTCTCTTCCTCTACCATGTTTCGGACATCGCTAGCTTGCGTGAGTAGAGATTCTGGCCCTTGATGCACAACATGTGAAGCACAAAATTTTTCTTCTCTTCATAGCTTTGAGTCACCGTAAATCATAGCTAAGGGGTGTTCTGTCGCACTCAGAATCTTGCTGTTGTCATCAGAGAACTAAATGGATCTGAATCTTCCTTCTATGCATCCTTCTTCTCTATTTTTGTTTTGTTTCTTTTCTGATTGGCATTGTCATCGATCACTACCGAGGGGAGGTACCGTAGCTTCATCTATTACTTAAGTGTGAGTTTCTCTTCTCCTTTTGCCGTCGATATTCCTCATCTCCTTCTCTTTCACTCTCCCAAGATAGACGTTCAAATTTCCCTATTGGTGCTACAGATTTTCTTTCCTCTTCCCAGTTCGGTTGCACAGGGTTTGTCCATGATGCTCTTTTTCTGTTCTTTTTTTGCTAGGTTAAGGTGAGGAGATTCAAATCTTTTCATTGTTAGTTCCACTATGAGTGTGAATGTGTTTTGTTGTTGTTGTGTGTGAGGTTACAAATTTTGTGTGTGTGTCATATTGCTGCCATACTGTGGTAGAGAGGAGGGAATTCAAAGTTAAGCTAGAAATTATCTTCAAGCTTGATAATGACATACATATGGGTCAACTTTTGAGTTAAATTCATTTTATTTAAATTGGTTGATAGTGAAGATTTGGTTAGGATTAAGTTAAAAAAAATGAGATATGAAACTTGAGAAATGATGACTATAAGATGGTTGTTGAAGTACTTGTTAGAAGAAATTGAAGTTGAATTTTGAATATTCATGGAGTTTCATTAATTCTTGTGGGAAGTATGAATTTTAATTTGGATGCTGCAAAGGATATTTGACTATGAAATTTAAAATATGTGTGATTATTAGAATTCTTGGAGATCGATAGTTTGTTAAGAAAATATTTTAATGCTAGAGTTGTTATGAAGGGATTGGAAAAGAATATTTGCCTATGAAATTAATAATGTGATTTTTGAGTTGTTGGAGATGGATAATTGTTGATGAAATATTGAATGCTAGCATTTTTATGAGTAGATTGGAAATGATGTATGTTTGGTTCCTTGACTAAATGTTAGTGAAGATTTTTTCCCAAAAGTATCAAATGTATTATAGTTTAATATTGGTGGTGATTGAGGGAAAAGGAATTATTATGATGGTTGAGCATTGAATATAATCTTGATATGATTTATAAGGAGTTGGGAAGAGAAGAAATTTAAATTCTGGAAATGTCAGGTAATGGATAACGTCTCAACTAATATTTCAATAAAATTTTCTTTACTAAAATATTACATTTTTATGTAAATACTTTTGTACAACAACAACGTGATTATTAAATATTTTTCTAATTAAAATACTTTATTTTATGAAATTATCTTTGCCAGATTTGATAAATTTTAATTAATCAGTAAATACAAGTTTGGATTCTAATTATGGGATTTTTTTGAAAATTATTGAATTGCTATGGAAAACGATTCATGCGAGTTTGACATTAAAAAATGAATTTTAAAAGTGATGATTTTCTTACATGTTTGAAAATGGATTTGAAGGGGACTTTATACAAAACAACTGGTTGCTAACGGTAATTCTGTTAGCCCTTGGCGCTCCATGGTTAATGACTAGCTAGTTTGATATTCGTGAGCTATGTTCTCAAGTTTGTTATTCATGGGTCTCGCACTTGTGTTTGATTTCTTGGTTCCGAGCTGCATTTGGTTAGTATTACTCTCATGGATTGTATGTTCATGTTTGTTTCACAGCTGAAGCTACGTTTGGTTACCTACCCTCGTAGACTATGTGTCCACATTTGTTACTTATTCTAATAAGTCCCTATAATTATGAGTTTTTAATTATTTGATGGATCTATTTTTTTCATTGGCTTTGATTAATGACATATTTATAATTATTTAATGCAATTATTTGCTTTATTAAAGTTACATGATAATGACGTTTGATATGATAGTTTAATGACTCAAGAATTTATTTAAAGTTACATAGAGTATTTTTATACTGAAGTTTATTAAATATATGTTTGTGAAAATTGTTATCTCTAGTGCACATAATTAAGTTAAATTTTATATACATATATATATATACATACATATATTTAATTATTTATTGTTGGGATGCTATTCATTGAAAATTTATTTTGGTTACAGATTTATTAGTTGACGTTGATCCTACTACTTACCTCTGAAGGGCATACATTTGTTCTGGGTGGAGTTTTGCCTAACATTATTTCTTTTGAATGTCAATATTTGAATTCACGTATTTTGTTTTGAAAGTAAGGTTAGTTGCTCCACGTAGTCTATAGCTAGGTTTCTATTTTGATATATATTGTCTGCTGACTGGAAGAAGCTAAGCTCCTGATTGATATTATATTTTATGCAAAATTATTGTGCTGTAGAATTTTCGGGAGATCCTATTTACAGGGAGGTTCTATCAAAATTTTTACAAAAGTATTGAAACTTTTATTATAATAGTTTTTTTTCAAGTATGCTATAATTTTCAATACAAAATTCAATTATGGATTAAAAATGAAAAGATTTCACAATTTAATGCTTAAGGAATGTATAATATGGTTCACATCTTATGCTGGTCACCCTCTATTTTTGAGGCGTGACAATGAAGATACTCCAAACAGTTGCCATATCAATCATTATGTTCAACCTTTGCAAGGTATTTAAATAATACTTATGAGAGTATAACCATTTGTTCAGACTCCCATTTTCCATGAATTCCATTATTAGTGATTTGAAATGATCATTTGAGCACAACTAATGACCTTAATGAGATTGTGATGGCGTAAATTGCACATGGCAGCACATTCAATATCAAAGCTTCTTAATGCTTCTTCTATTTCTAACTTAAATACTTTGATAGCAACTATTTTTGAGTCTAGAAGAGTTGCTTTGTCTACTAATCCAAAATTTCCAGAGCCCAGAAGATTACTCTCATCAAATCCATTTGTTCCTTGCCAAAGCTCATAATATGATATCTTAGTTGGTGTGTCAAAATTTATTGATTCCCTATTGGTTGAATCACCAACATGATCTCTCTTACACTTTAAAAAGACAATGCCTGAAACAACCAAAATGACAGCCATGCATATGATAGGCAATGAGCACTTTATCAATAGCTTCAATTTATTTGACATGTGCTTGTGTTCTTTCCTACATGGGTGAACTTGTAATTGTGACTTCCCACAAAGATCATTATTCATCATAAAAGATTCAGCAGTGAAATTTTAAAAAGGCCCCCCACTTGGAATTTCTCCATGCAATAAATTATAAGAAACATTAATGTGTTGAAGATGGATTAACAACTCTAAGGATTTTGGAATCACACCAGACAAATAATTATGGGAAAGATCCAAAGATTCCATGCTTATCATGCCACCAAGCGATTTAGGAATATTCTCATGCAATTTGTTTTGGACCAAAGATCAGGCTTGCAAAGTTTGCAGGCTACCCATAGTTGTAAGGATGCTTCCTGAAATTTGATTTTTTGACAAGTTCAATAGTATAATTGTTCCCAAGTTTGATACCTTTGGTGAAATTAGTCCACTCAATGCATTAGAGGATATGTCTAAGACCAAGATATCTTTAAGACTCCAAAGAGAAGAGGGTATATGAGAAATCAATTTGTCAGAGCTAAAATTCAACTTCTATAGAGAAGTATTCCCGAAGCATCTTGGAACCGCTCCTGAAAACATGTTGTTGGCAAGATACAACTCACTTAGACTTTTGAGTTGACAAAGTTCATTTATGATGGACCCATGCAATCTATTGTTGTTGAGGTTTAAACGTTGAAGGCCATGAAATCTGTTAACTGTATCAGGAATCAACCCACTCAAATCATTCCCATCCAAATCTAATTCCATCAAGTTTGTTAAATTTCCAAGTATGTTGGGTATAGCTCCGCTAAATTTGTTTGATGATAAATCTAACTTGATGAGCTTAGATGCATTTGATATGCTGTTTGGAATTTGTCCACTCAGTTCATTCTCCTCCAGTAATAATTGCTTCAAGTTGGGAAGGCCAATTCCTAAATATGATGGGAGAAGGCCAGAGAGAAAATTATTACCAAGGTGCAAAATTGTCAATGTTGAAATGTTGAATATATTGGAAGAAATTGCTCCTTTCAAATGATTATTGCCAATGTCCAAGATATTAAGGTTATTAAGTTCACCTATACCTTCATGTACAAAGCCCGTACACCAAAAAAAAATTAATGGAAATCATTCTTTTATATAGATCAGATAAGAATGTGTGTGTGTGTGTGTATTTCTTTTATTAGTTTTAAATTATTTCTGAAATTTTTAAAATAAAAATATTAGGGTAATCATGAACTACTCTTTATATTGTAATTGTTGAATAATTATTTAATAGAAAATAAATAAATTTACACAATACAAAGAAACAATTTAAAAAGAAAATTAAACCGGGAAATGATGTATTCTTTCATAACGGGGAGAGGAAAATTAGAGTTAAAGTTGATGGGAGGGCGATAAAAATCTGTGCGTGTACAGATATATAAAATAAATGGCCACATTAATGCTGTGATTGGCAAGAAGAGAGAAAAATGATGGGGCAAGAAAAAAGAATGAGAGAAAAACTATATTTTCTCTTTCTCAGCTTTGAAATTAATGAATTTTCAAAATACAAAAATTGAAATAGAAGTTAAATGGATAAAGAATATATGTATTCTCCAATAAAGGCGAGAGGAAGAAAATATAAAATCAAAGTTATTAGGAGAAAGATAAAACATTTAGGCCCATATAATGATAGGTTTGAACTAGCTATATACAAAGCCTCTTCATATGAATGAAAAGTTGAAAAACAAAATCCCATTTTCGATTCACTCCATTTCAGAAAAATATTTTTTTAAAAAAAGAAAACATAATATAACTATATACCTATCTATAAATGATCAGTTACCATCTAAACATGATTCTTTTAAAGACGTGCTACTTATTGAATTTAGAATTCTTCTCCTTAATTATTACCAAAAAAAAAGCATCCTTTCTCATAATTGATTATAACTAATTAATGCAAAAGATTTCAAGCAAAGAGAGTTGATAGCATATTTCTTTTGGAAACTTCAATAAAGTAATTTTTTTATGTTGAAATTTTTGAATAATTATTTAATAGGGAATTAATAAATTTGTGAAATAAGAAAATAAAATTTCCAAAAAAATTAAAAAATAAAATTAAACAGGGAAATGATGTAGTCTAAGGGGAGATTAAAAAAATAGGGTTGAGGTTAATAGGAGAGCAATAAAACTTTCAAACATTTAAATGAATAGGGGAGGGAGGGGATATTCTTATAAATTTTAATAGAGAGAATATATAAATTAAAAAAGTAGGGATATTTTCACCTAACTTTCCTTTTTTTTTAAATTAAACCCATTAGAATCTCCCCTTTCCTCTTCTTCATTTTACCTACAAATTATATACTATTTAAATAATTTTTTGTTTATTTTATTTGGAAGATATAAATAAAAGAGTAAGCAAAAATAATTAAAATATTTTAATCCCACTTCTCTATTTTTTTAAAATTAAACTCATTACAATCAAACATTAGTGTGGCCACATTATATCTGATGTGGAGCTTTTTGATTGATCAAATTAGTATAAATGATGGGGTAGTCCCATCGGTTCATGATCTTATCTTTATGTTATTATGGGATTGTAATCACAAGTTATATGCCTATATATGCGCCCTATTGTATTGATGAACAATATTAATGAACGAAATAATTAAAACATTATATCTCATTTTAATTTCGCTCTTTTAGAAAGAATGATCTAGGAAGGGGGAAAAGAGGCAATCATAGACTACCATCAATTCATGGTATGATCTTTTCTTATTTTGGGATTGTAATTCACTAGCTATATTAAGTCCCCACTACAAATACGTACTTATAATATTAATGAAACGACGAAAATCAAAATCTCATTTTAAATTTATTCTGAGACAAAATAATTAAAAGTCAAGAAAATAATAAAAAAAGATATAATAATCTCATGCTTGTAAAGAGGTTGGAATCCAAATAAATTATCAACTCTAATAAAAAGACTGAATAGTGATAGATAATAACATTTTCACAACAGTACGGACTTTAAAATTAAAAGAGAAATGAAACAGGTAATATAAACTTGCATATAATATACATATATACTATAACAAAAAACAACACATCCCTTGCTAATTTCAGAAATTTGAATATTTGTGTATTACTAATTAATCGTGTGTGGCATAATTCATTAAACAACTTTAATTTTTTGGCAAATTGTTTTTGGTATAGTTGAAGTGAGAAATTAGCAAGCATGCTTTGCTCAACGAAAAAAAAAAGAAAAGGTTCCACATCATATACAGCGAGTTCACATGTTTTGGGTGGGTGTGGGTGTGTGTGTGTGTGTGTGTGTGTGTGTGTTTTGGATACTTGTTTTAATTTCCAATTAAATAATTGTTCAAAAATTATTGTATGAAAAACGCGCTTCAATTTGAATAGTATTATTTAATTTCGATTGAACGTATAGAACAGTTCCTTTTTAAACCTGAATGCATTAAAATGAAGCAATCTAATTATATGTCTGACTGTTGAAAATATCTCATATTCTGGATCATTAGTCTATGCTCATATATAGTTGAACTAGCGTTTTTTGAGTTGGCTTTAAACTTGTTATTTAATTGCTATATTATAATTTGCAATTAATTTTTATACGTGCTTAAATAATTTTTGTTTATTTGATTTTTCAATTGATATGTTGTAATTTTAAGAAAAATATCAAATACAATTTAATTAAATAATAGAGAGTTGTTATAATTTATATATATATATATATAAAATAAAAAAACTCCAAGCTTGTATGTCTTTTAATGTTACAATTTGTATTAGACTTATCCTATCATACAAATATGATTAAGTTTGGTGTGTTTAAGAACAAGTCAAAAACTTACGTTAAAAATAAAAAATAATTTTAAATCATACCCGTTTTAACCCCAGAAGTTTTATTGAATTTGCAAGATAAAAATTTTAAAAATAAGTTAAACCGATTAACAATGTGCTAAGGGGAGAAAAAAATGTAAGATTAAAGTTCCTAGGACACAAAATCTAAAAATAAAGGTAATGGCATTTTAGATTTACTCCCTTTCAAAAAAAGAAAATATTGACAAAATGGAAACATAAATATAAATACATTGTACGTACCTGTAAATAAGTTACCATCCAAATACAATTCCTTTAAAGATGTGCAATTACTTATTGATTTTGGAATGCTTCCCTCTAATTGGTTACCATCAACATCAAAGATTTTGAATAAAGGGAGTTGATGGCACAGTTCTTTTGATAAATTACCATTTAAATAAATCGTGCCAGCTCAACCTCTCTCAAAGAAGACATGTTCCAAATAAATGAAGGAATTCCACCTAAACAAAGTACAAAATGTTTGTTTGTTGTTAGTACCCATGAGACTAGCAATTCCCAAAGTGATATAAATAATGCATAGAAATTTGATAATTAGAGGTTTAACATTAATAGAAAAATATACAATAACCTTTTTTGGAAACTCCCTCACGTAAAAATTAAATGGATTTTTGTAAGATCCATGTGTGCAACAACCTTTCTTGACATAAAAGTTGAAAGCTAGTGGTTAAGAAAAATGGATTGCATTAAACGTATGAATTGTACTATAAGTTTTACTCTTAAAGTGGTTTCAGTTAAAAATTTTTCTCACAAAATGAAATAAGCATAATAATAAATGAAAAGTTTGTTAAAGAATATAAGTAAAGGATGGGTAGATTGATCATACTTGTAAAGGAGTTGTACCGTAGATCTAATATTTCTAGCAACGTCTCATTGCCAGCTAGTATTGGAAGATTACCATTCAAATTGTTTTTTGCTAAAGACATAGTTCTTAGAGTATAAATGTTAAAGAGAGACAATGGAATTTCACCTGTTACAATTTAAAACTGTAACGACTAAAATTACATTAAAGTAAGATATAATAGTTACAAGACTGATTAATCATTTAACACTAAATTGATCTTGGAGAGAATAAAAACAAGACAATGATAGAATGAAACAAGAAAGCTATATGGAGTTATATTAATTAATGGGCATTTTTAAGGAGTCAAAAATGGTGACAAATTAATTCAAATTAAGTCCCAACAAATTTTAAAGTGAGAAATTTTAGGAATATGCAAGTTTAACTCTTAATTTTACAATTTCGTTATGATGAATTTATACATTGTATTTCAATTTTTAACGGGGAAAATAAATATCTTATTTTCTTTGCGTTTTCACTATGACTCTGATATTTTTTCCTCATCTCTTGTTGATTAAAAAAAAATAAACCCATCATTTCTAATTTTCCATTTTTGTTTCTAATCTCAGTTCATTTCTCTTTTTCACTTCAAATTTTTTAAACTATCCAGACAAAAGATTTTTAATACATGATTTTAAATGTGATAGTTGAGCTACAAGATTTCAAGTCCAAACATATCAATCCAGATGTTACATAAATTTATTTTTCTAAATTTAATATTATGTGTAATAGCATTTTGTTTGAATTATCAATGTGTTTATTAAGTTTTTAGATTGAAAAATGAAAAAAAAAATTAGGGTTCAGGCTTTTCAATCCAGACATATCATAAAGTGCCACATATATGTTCGCCAAGGCCGTTCTACTCTGAACGGTTATGAAACCTCAGAACGTATATTTTTGTTGGCTTTTTAATTAACTTAATTTAGATTTTGAGGTCATCAAGATATTTTTTGTGGTAAATAAATGGACATTAATTAAATTTAGATATACCGTGCCCTTCATTTTCATTGGATTATTTCATCTTCTTGTCAATATTGTTTATCCCTTAATTCACAATTCTGTTCACAATTTTTGACAAACAAAAAAACCTGAGTGAAATTTTAGAGATGATATGTTTTTCTTCCCCCAAACTATAAAATATTAAATAATTAATAGCAAAATACTATGGTAAGCAATCATTTTATGGAAGAAAAAAAGATATAATTAAAAAAGCTGCTATTAATTAATAATTTTAGTTGTTATCACCTGTTACTTTTGCAGTGTTACTTTCATAGTAGAAACCAGTAATTACAAAAGAGTCAAGAAATAGCAGCTATTTTAATTACAGTTTTACTTTCACAGTGTTACTTTCATAGTAAAAACCAG